TTTGAAACCTCTAACTTTTCGAAACATACCATTTTGTATTTTGCCTATAAAAATGTTACTTTAACATATAATAGTTTAAAAGTTATTTATTATTGAGTAAAATTGACACTACCCTCGTACCCAGAGGGGGATACCTTTTTTATGTTGTGGCCTTGAGAATCCATGATCTTACTACCAAAGAACCCTGGCATACACCAGAAGCAGAACTCCAGCCTCTCTTTTATTCCTAACCCCCTTAGTGAAATTTTTCTTCTCTTGTTAAAAAAAAAAAATTTTGACAGCTAGCTAATTTGAAAAGCAAATCCTTGCTAATGCCATAAAGGGCTCTGATGACTTGATGTATGCCCATTTTACAGGTTTTATAATTTTTATATCTTCAAGATAATTATATTCTAAAGGTGAAGATTTTAGATACAATAATAGGAATTGATGGTAATGTTTTAGCCAAGTGCTAAAGCTCCCTTCTGATGCCCATCCAATGATATCACTTCCTGTAGGGCCCACCACACAGAGGCCCTGACCTATGCTTCCAATGTCTAACTACTACTAATTCTTCTACCACTGAGACAAATGATTCCTTTTATTATGCATTTACTTTAAAACTAGGCATTGTGCTAAATGCTTTGTAGGCATGTCTCATTTAATCTTCACAACAGTCTTCAAGGATAAGCAATATTTTCATCCCCATTTTCCTTCTGAGAAAACTGAGCCTTAGAGAAATCAAATAATTCTTCCTGAGCACACAGCTCCCAGATGGTAGTTCCAGGACTTGAATCCATGCAGTCTTAACTCCAGAACCTATAGTAATCTTATTCATATGTTAGATAAGCTCCAAGGAGAATACTTTGGAATGAAGTATCTTTCTCTTTTTGAGATTATTAGTGAGCAACCCCTATTACTTTTGCATCATTTCACAGACTCTACTTTCCAAATTCTCAATCAGTTCAGCCTCTAACATCTTAGTGTATTTTTAATTTTCACCAATATTTCCAAACTCTAAGAGATCTGATCAGATTGTCTCACTTAAAATAGAAAAGTATATAACATAAAGCCTAGAGTTTAACATTGAGAAAAATGAAAGTGTTAGTCACTCAGTGTGTCTACCTCTTTGCGACCCTATGAATTTGTAGTCTTCCAGGCTCCTCTTTACATGAAATTCTCCAGGCAAGAATACTAGAGTGGGCAGCCATTCCCTTCTCCATGGAATGTTCCTGACCCAGGGATCAAACCCAGGTCTCTGGTATTGCAGGCAGATTCTTTACCTTCTGAGCCCCCAGAGAAGAGTTTAACATTAGCCATCAAGTAATATAATTACTAGTTTGTGACCACTACTTTTATCTTCTCTAAGCCTCAATTCACTCAGTGGCATGTCTTTCTGTTAGTTTGGATAAACTGGTTAAGAAAGTAGCTTTTCTGACATTGATTTTTGTTTAGAAGTATAGAAATTTAGGAAATGAACACTTATTCTAAATTAACTTCTCCAGCAATAGCTGTTTTCTCACTCTCGGCATCTGCATTAACCTGACATGAAGAAGACTGATAAACACAGCTACAAGATTCATAACATATATGAAAAATAACTTCAAAAACCACAGCACTGGTAATGGTGTTTATCACCATTATTCTGTAAATCCTAGAGGAGATTTTTAAAATATTTACATTCAAAGTATTTATTAACACCCCACCCCAAAGAAAGGTAAAGTTCTCAGTAACTATAGGCTCAATTATAATTTTAGAATTTCTCTTTTCATTTTTTTCTAATTGAATATATTGCAATTTTATACAATTTCATATATGTACATGCATATGTATATATGTGTGTGTATACCTATATGCACAGACACACAAATATTTTGTTGCTGTTCAGTCACTAAATCATGTCTGACTCTTTGAAACCTCTTGAACTGTAGCACACTAGGCTCCTCTATCCTCTACTATCTCTCATAGTTTGCTCAAACTCACATCCATTGAGTTGGTGATGAAATCTAACTATCCCATCCTCTGTGGCCCCCTTCTCCTTTTACCTTAAATCTTTCCCAGCATCAGGGTCTTTTCCAATGAGTCAGCTCTTTGCATCAGGTGGCCAAAGTACTGGAGCTTCAGCTTCAGCAACAGTCTTGCCAATGAATATTCAGGACTGATTTCCTTTAGGATTGACTGGTTTGATCTCCTTACAATCCAGGGGGCTCTCAAGATTATTCTCCAGCACCACAGTTTGAAAGCATCAATTCTATGGAGCTCAGCCTTCTTTACAATCCAACTCTCACATCTGTACATGACTACTGGAAAAACCACAGCTTTGATTATATGGACCACTTACACTATTATCTGTTCTTGAAAACTGAACAATTTGGAGAAATATTTTTAGGAAAATATTTATTATGATTTTTTAACATCTAAGTGAAAGTGAAAGTGTCAGTTGCTCAGTCATCTCGGACTGTTTGCGACCCCATGCGCTGTAGCCCACCAGGCTCCTCTGTCCATGGAATTCTCCAGGCAAGAATACTGGAGTGGGTTGCCATTCCCTTTTCCAGGGGATCTCCCAACCCAGGGGTCAAACCTGGGTCTCCCGCGTTGCAGGCAGATTCATTACCATCTGAGCCACAGGGAAGCCTTAAAGTCTAAGCAGAAATCAATTAAATAGAATTTACCGATTATACTGCAAAGCCCTTTGGGTCATGGTAAGAAGCATGAGATGCAGGTGAAACTACAGAGAAGTGAGATATACACAGGAAAGGCATTCTGTGGCAGAACTTTTCCAGAAAGAGGAAGGGAGTAGGTTGATAATATCAAGTTAACAAAAATGAGAGATTAGAAAGTCAAAGTGTGATACTGAGAGCATTGAATGCAGGCAAAGTAGCTTCCCAGGTGGTGCTAGTGGTAAGGACCCGTCTGCCAAAGGAGGAGACTTAAGAGAGTTGGGTTTGATCCCTGGGTCTGGAAGATCCCCTGGAGAAGGCATGACAACCCACTGCAGTATTCTTGCCTGGAAACTCCCACGGAGGAGTCTGGTGGGCTACAGTCCATAGGGTTGCAAAGAATCAGACATGACAAAAGCGACTTAGCAGGATTGCATGCAAAGGAGCCCAAGTACTGCCTAGTAGGTTTGACTATGGCCCAATACAATGTAATTTTTTACAGACTTACAGGATTTTTAAATATACTTACTAAGAAATGAATCACTTCACATTCATAAATTAGAAGAGGAATTCTTTGGCTGATAAGTCCCTTTCTGAGATGTGATGGACATCAACATCTCACCTCTACCCACCCAATTTTTGATCTTCATTAAACTTCTTAAATTTCATCTTCTCCAACATTTATCCTTGCGATCTTCTGTTTGGCAGTCCATTCCATCATCCTTGTGGCTTTCTCCCTGCCCTTCCTTGGATTCTCAGTACTGTGTCACCTGTACTGTATTCCAGGCAATGAGTCCTCCTTTGGGTGGCACTCTTGTCTTGCCTAACTCTAGTCCTGCTAGACAGAAATATTCAATTAGTAGTTACACTGAATCCAATTCAGTAGAGTTGCATATAATTGAGTCCCTCTACCACCTGTAAGGGGCTTCCCATGTAGGTCAGTGGTAAAGTATTCACCTGCCAATGCAGGAGATGGGAGTTTGATCCCTGGGTCAAGAAGATCCTCTGGAGGAGGAAATGGCAAACCACTTCAGTATTCTTGCCTGGAAAATTCCATGAACAGAAGAACTTGTCGGGTTACACTCCTTGGGGTCACAGAGTCAGAAATGACTGAGCCACTGAGAGTGCACACACACACACACTACATCTGTAAATACAAGTCTACTCATCCATTACTTCCTCTTCTTTGAAATTCTCAAAACCATTAAAACATAAATGATTTAAATACAGCAAGTATTTGGCGAAGTTACCATGTAGATGTGGCTCTTGACTCAAAGGATGTACAACTCAGCGAGAGAAGCACTGCAAACTCCTACGTGGAGTAAATAACATGCACCCAAATTTGTTCATTCTTATTTATAAAAGTCTGTAGCAACAAGAAATAAAACAGTGCCCTAAATTCTTTCTTTGGTTCAATTTCCAGTGTACAAACATCCTAATTGAGATTAAACAAATAGCCCACACACATTCCATTTTTAACGAGACTGTTTTCCTCCCTTCCTTCCCCTCTAGATTTCCTCTTGCATTTCTCTTTCCCTTTTTCTCCCAGTCTTAGCTCTCCTTTCCTCTAGCTATCACAGTTTTCCCAAAGAAAAGCCTCCCTGTGACCACGAATCAGCAGAAAGGAAGCAAACCCTGATTACAGCAAGTCAAGCCGTCAGAGGGGCGTGTCGGGGTGGACGCCCCCACCCCCTTTGAGTGCAAAAGGGCTGGACAGCGAAGTTCAAGTGCTCGCAGGAGAGACGCGCGGCAACCAAAGTCGCTCACTTTCATAGACGGACTGATCCTTTCTGCGCAATCGGACCCCAGGAAAGCCGCCCCCCTCCCCTTACTGGCCGAGGAGCGCCGGCACTTGGAAAGCGCCTGGGTGCCCAGACCCCGGGAGCAGCGAGGGGTGCGAAGGCGGAGCCACTGGGCTAACGACACCCCCGCAAGGTCCGGCCCTCGCCCGCGTTCCTGCCACCTTAGGGAGTTGGCGCCGGGAGCGGAATCACCCTCTCAATGAAAGGCAGATGTCCCTTTAAGGTTTGCTTCGCAGCTCGTGGACTTTAGCCTAAACAAGGACCCGCGAAGCTGGCTTTATTTGTCCATGTCTCAGACAGAGCCTGGGAGGCTGCCAGTGGGATTTCAGAGCACGAAGAGGGGGGGCGATGTGGCAATTCTGCGAGGCGAGTAGCGTGAACCGAACTTAGAGGCACTGGTGGAAAACACAGGAAATCGCCCCGCTGCTCCCCGGGCGCCGGGGCCGACCGGCCAGCGACTGAGACCCCCGGCGGCGAGCAACGCGGGTCCTGCGCGCGGTTCCGCCGAGTCCTCGCCTCCGATCCCGCGCGTCCCCGCGGCGCTGCGCCCACTCCAGTCATGGACCCCCGGCGCCGCGCCAGCCCAGGGGTCGCTGTCGCCTACTGCTGGCTCCTCTCCGGTGAGTGACCCTGCTTTTCTCCGAGCATCTGCTGAGCGCGGGACTCCGGGAGGGAGGCGCGCAGAGCTTCGGCCCGGAGTGGTGAAGGGAGCGCGGATCCACTTTTCGGGCGCTCCAGGTAGTCCGGGCAGGTTGGAGCTCTGAAAGCAGTTTTCTGCGTTGGTTTCTCGGTGTGAATTACTTTTGAAATTGTTTCAAAACCCTCCGCCTTAATGATGAGGGGAGCGGTGCTGAAAACTTTACAAGGTGGAATTGACTTTTTAAATTAAAGTTGTTTTTGACAATATGCATGGTATTTTAGGACTTTGCTAATGGCTTCTACTTTCCTTTTTCGTGTTTGTGTGTAGAGTTTCTACTTTCAGGTTGCTCGAGTGGACATTATTCATTTTCTTGCTGTTATGTACTCAAGATAGTTTCTGCTACAGAGGAGGAAAGAGAAGAATGCAAGGCAAAGTTGTCTCTTGTGCCGAAATGCTGTCTCTGTGTTAGCACCCAGGAAAAGGAACATATTGAAACTGAGGAAGTAGTGAACATTTGACAATTAGCAGAATAATTTTTAAAATACAAAATAAAGTATTGTTACTTGTGCATTAATAGATATCTTTTAGGATAGGCTTAAGCACAGTGGAGATGCAAGCTTACACTCAATTGGGGGGGGGGGGCGGGGGAGGTTGAATCAAAGCATTTTCTAAGATTTTCTAAATCATTAACTGATGGTTAGCTCTTTTCTACCAGTTACTGACTGAGCAGGAAAAGTTGCAAGGGTGAAAGAAAGAGAAGGCAGATGGCTGAAGCCTTGTGTGAAAAGGGCCAATAATCCAAATAGCGTCAACTTCTGAAGAGCTTTACAGTCAGTGAATGGCTGACCTTGTAAGCCACTGTCACTTTCCTTTACACTATTTGAGCTATGTGTGCATGCATGTTAAGTCATGTCCAATTCTATACAATGCTATGGCCTGTAGCCTGCCAGGCTCCTCTGTCCATGGGATGTTCCAAGAATACTGGAGTGGATTGCCATACTCTCCTCCAGGTGATCTTCCCGACCCAGGGATCCATCCCAAGTGTCTTACTGCCTCCTGCATTGGCAGGCGGGTTCTTTACCACTAGCGCACCAGGGAAGCCCATTTGACCTATGATTCCTCTCCAACTCAATGTTTTTGGAAGCTGTTTGCATCTTGTTGTTGTTGTTGTGCAAAATTTGAATGTTTTACTAAGTACTCAAGTTGTACCTTCCTCATGTTACTGAATAAGCAGTCACTAATTTAGAAATAGGTTTCCCTGGTAGCTTATCTAGTAAAGAATCTGCCTGCAACACAGGAGACCCCTGTTCAACTCCTGGGTCTGGAAGTTCCCCTGGAGAAAGGATAGGCTACCCACTCCAGTATTCTTGGGTTATTCTGGTAGCTCAGACAATAAAGAATCCGTCTGCAATGGGGGAGACCTGGGTTCAATCTGGAGAATTCCATGGACAGAGGACCCTGGCAGGCTACAGGTCCATGGGGTCGCAAAGAGATGGACATGACTGAGCGACTTTCAGTGTAGAAATAATCAAACGAGGTTTGCAAATCCTTTGAAAAGAATGAAATGCAAAAAAATAGAAGTAAATTACAACTTCACATATAATATATATATTCAACTACTTTATTTTCTTATGCCTAAAACAGCCGTGTTTGTATACTGTTGGTTTTCTGCAATTGTTGGGGGTAATGCATACATATGTGCTAAGTTGCTTCAGTAGCATCCAGCTCTTTGTGACCCTACGGAATATAAGCCCACCAGACTCCTCTATCCATGGGATTCTCTAGGCAAGAATACTAGAGTGGGTTGCTATGCTCTCTTCCAGGGGATCTTCCCAACCCAGGGATCAAACCTGCATCTCTTATGTCTCCTGTACTGGCAAGCAGGTTCTTTACCACTAGTGCCACCTGGAAAGCCCATTGTGGGTAATAAACCTTGCTAAATCCAAGAAAGGACTTAAAGGAAAATAATGCATGAAGGGCTTCCCTGATGGCCCAGACAGTAAAGAATCTGCCTATAATGCAGGAGACCCAGGTTCAATCCCTGAGTGGGGAACATCCCCTGGAGAACCTTGTTAAAACCAGTAAGGGGGTTAAAGGAAAATAATGCATACACATTTCTAAATTACATTTAATTCTCTTTTGTGTGTATATATATATATATATATATATATATATATATTATATATTATTCAACCATATTAAAATTTAAAGTTATTATCTAAGAATCAACAGGTTCCTCATATGTGCTATATTGTTGTTGTTTATTCGTTAAGTCATGTCTGATTCCTTTATGACCCCATGAACTGTAGCCCACCAGGCTCCTCTGCCCATGGGGTTTCCCAGGCAACAATACTGGAGTAGGTTGCCATTTTCTTCTCCAGGGGATCCTCTGACCCAGTGATAGAACCTGGATCTCCTGCATTGGCAGGCAGATTGTTTACCATTGAGCCAACTGGGAAGCCTTCTTATGTGCTATATTTATGCCCATTTCACAGCATAACAGAAGGATCTAAAATTTGATGTCTTCTTTTCCTTTGTTGGTTATCCTGTCAGTCATCATGTCATCAGCTTCCTTACAAACTTCTCGTCAATCCATAGAGTCCACAGAATCCATAGAATCTGGGGTCTTATCACCATACCCACCCATGCACAGTACTATAGAACTCATCTTCTGGTCTTCAGTCTGAACTTAACCTCTAATTAATCTTCCTAATACATAGTTTTTATCATACCTTAGTCTTTAGCCAAAAACCTTTGGTGGCTCTATGTTATCCATGAGACAAAATCCACAGTTCTCAACCCACCTTTCAGGGTCTGCCCTAACCCACTCCCCTCCGTCTCCTGCTGTGCCTTTTATCAGGTTCCCATTGCTGTCATAACAGATTGCCTCCGATTTACTGGCTTAAAACAAGACAAATTTACCACTTGTAGTTATACGGGTCAGAAGTCTCACTGGGCTAAAATCAAGGTGTTGGCAGGGCTGCCTTTCTTCTGGAGGTTCTAGGGGAGAATTCACTTCCTTACCTCTTCCAGATTGCAAAGGCAATCTGCATTCCTTGGCTTGTAGCTCCATCCTCCATCTTCAAAGCCAGTAAAGTAGCATCTTCAAATCTTTCCTGTGACTGCTGCTTCATCACATCTCCATCTCTGATGCTGACCCTATTTCCTTCCTCATATAAAAATGCTAATTATGCTGGGCTCCCCAGAATAATACAGGATAATCTCCCCAGCTCAAGATTCTTAATGTAATCATATATACCAAACCCTTTTTGCCATATATAGTGATACATTTGCAAGTTCCAGGGATTAGGAAATGAAGATATATGAAAAACCATTATTCTGCCTACCAAAACCTCTGAACATAAACTGCCAGTCATGACAGCCAGTCACATTTCCTTATTTCCCCCATTAGTCCTCATGCTTATTTTGCTACTGTGCATATGACACTATTTTACACATCTAGAAAAGCATTCCACCCTTCTTTCTTACTACCCCCTGCCCTCTAAACAAACTCTCTCCAGTCTTCAAAGCTGGGTTTACATCACAACAACCATCTCTCTAATAAACCATCTCAGTAAACTTCCCATTATATTTAGGATTATCTTGTATTAACTTTTCTCAGCATTTAAACATGATGTGTCAAGAAAGATGCCCTTCTCTATGTCTAAAGTCTCTATCATTACTTTAAATATGTGAAAGTCCCAGCAAAAGAACTAGTGGCACATATAAAGGATTTAGCTTAAGAAAACTGACTTAAGTCAAGGGACTGTTTGCAGAAACATAGAAAGGAATTGGCAAAAGTTGGCGGAGCACGTAGAACAAGCAGGAACAAGTAGGAAGAAAGCACCTGAAGCAACATGAGATGAAAAGCCACGGCTGTTCCTAGGCCTGACGGGGCAGCAGTGTCAGCTTGACCGTGACCTCTGGCTATGGGAGGGGGACTACTGGACAGGAGCTGCGGCCATGGCCGCAGAACGCAGCTCGTGCCAAAGCTGAAGCCCAGCAGGGAGAAAGCGGGGGAAATGAACACCCTGCCTTTTCCTCCTACCCCCCACCCCTTGCCCGGCTCTCCCACTGGTCATGTCCAAATGGCAAAATTCATACTCCCAGGGGACAAAGATCAAGACAATAACAGAGAAGAGCTAGCGCAACTAATTGCTGAAAGGCACATGTTTTTTGAGAATGTATTATATATGAGGCCCTGTGCCAAGAATTTTGCACATACTACATTTCAGTCTCAAAAAGGGGAAATTCTGGAACTATTATTCATATTTTACAGATGAAGAAACTAAGAGACTAATTTGACTAAAGTCACACAATTAATAAATGGCAAAGCCTATACTCTATTCAGATCTCACATGTTCTGAAATAATATACCATTTTGGAAAAGACCATGATGCTGGGAAATACTGAAGGCAAAAGAAGGGGGCGACAGAGGATGAGATGGTTAGATAGCATCACCAACTCAGTGCCTATGAATCTGAGCAAACTTGAAGAGACAGTGAAAGACAGGGGAGCCTGGCGTGCTGCAGTCCATGGAGGCGCAGAGTCAGACATGACTTTGGGACTGAATAACAACAACTGGCTGTCTAAATATAAATCCATTTCCCTCTTGCTCAACCCTCTAAATGTTAAATCCAAGTCTAATTGTCTAAAAGACTTTGATAAGGATCTGATTAATGATGAAGTGGGTCTGTTTTCCATGACTTTTAGGTATATAGTGAAATTAGATTATGTCCCTTCCTACATTAATTATAACTCAAATAAGACTCATTATAACTCAAAATTACTCAAATTATAACTCAAAAAATTATAATCTCTGGTTATTAAAAACACAAACACAGAATTATCCCTAATTGAGTTGTGTATTTTTCCTCCATAGAAACATTTCAGCTAGACTACAAGCTGGTGTCTTCTTTTATGATTTTTTTCACAGGCAAGATTTCCTATTCTAAAAGAAGTCCAGTGAGCTAATGGCTG